TTTCTTTATCATGATCATAATAGGATAAATAAAATAAAAAATTATGTACCTAACCTAACCAAACTTAACCTGGAGCAGAAACTGGTCTTTCGTTTGTTCACTAGCCCACAATCTAACCGTACGTGAAGCAGCACCCCACGGTCAAAATTGTAGGTTTTTCACGCTTTCCCTTCGCAAACGCCTCCCGACAGTACTTGTGAAAATACTGACCAAAGGACGCTACCTACTATATTTACCTACCTACTACCTATACTGCATAGTCATCCACCTTTTGAAAGACAGTGAACGGCCCTTCACAATTTAATGCAAAGCCGTTCACCGCTTTTCCGAAAGCGTTGGCTAGGACACACGTTCACGTGATTGAGTGAGGAATACTGAAAGGAAAGTTTTCAAACGACAAGATTCACTTGATGAATAACGTGGCGTAGCACTACACTAGAACAGACACTGCGCAATACAGGATGGTAGGATTTTGCGGAGGGTGCGGGGAGCAGTCGGGTGAGCACTTTCTACCTTTAGAGAAGCAGAGTTCAGCTGTCGACTAATCGCCAACCCAGGTACCAAGCAACTCACGACTTTTGATTTTATAACGGTACTGCCTCGCCTACAGGAGTGGGGAAAGCAGCACACAGGGGGGGGTAACGGCGCGCGCCGTATCTCCGCTAGTATCGATCGACACGAACCAAGACTCTACTACTTGCTTTTAACAAAATAATTATTTTATAAATAATTTGATAATTAAAAGCTAATTAATTAAATCATTACAAATTAATTATCATAAAAATTAACTAACATCGTTACACCAGAATAAAAATAACTACGAAACTTAAACGATAAAACCGGTTTTTTCGGTAAATAAATAGGTGCTAAGTGAAGCGGAACCACCTGATTTATTTATGGAAAACGTTTCGACCTCAAAGTGCAAAACGTTGATTGCGACTAAGCCGATTCCATCAGCGAAGACGTAACAGAATGGAGGTGAGCGCGTGCATTATCTAACGGTCTCCATCTCTTATTCCGCCTTAATCAATTCGGTGTCGGCGGGAAAGCGCCAAATCTTCAATCATTCTAATTACGGAAATTCGTCAGACTTTCCGCTTACTTTGCTTTGGAAACGTCCGTCGTTCTGACCTCGCCTGAGCAGCTTTAAGCGAAAGCCATTCGCAGCACTAAATAGACTGTTTTGTTTTAAAATGTTTTAGGTCCGGCTGCAGAAGTGCGTTTTTCTTACTCTCCGGCGTCGTTTCTATACAGGGTGATTCACGGCCATGGCCCGTTACACGTTTATGGAAAACCGCTGACAGGATTTTTTTGAAAATTTGGATTTTTGCATAAAGGTACCTGCTCCATCTGTCTAAATTTTTTTGTGTGTGTTGCCACATTCAGTGTTGCCGCTTAATACTAAAAGTGGTAGCATCTTTATTTTAAATGGGACACCCGGTATATTATTATACTTTTCGAAACTACTTCCATATCTCAAAATTTTTCTATTATACAAACCTACTGAGTGCGTCTCAAAAGTGGCTCACCCCTATAACTTTTTTAATTCTTCAGTTAAAAAATCGAGATTTGGTATGTTAGTATATCACATAAATTAGGATTGATTGACGTATTCAATTGTTTTCGGTCACTTCCTGTTTCACCGGAAATGACTACAACTTTTGATTTTTAAATAACACCCTCGGTATTTTTTTACTTTATTCGATAGAAAATAACATTCTGAGTAGAATGACATAACATTCTGAGTAGAATGACACATGATATGTCATTCTACTCAGAATGTTATTTTCTATCGAATAAAGTAAAAAAATACCGAGGGTGTTATTTAAAAATCAAAAGTTGTAGTCATTTCCGGTGAAACAGGAAGTGACCAAAAAAAATTGAATACGTCAATCAATCCTAATTTATGTCAGATACTAACATACCAAATCTCGTTTGTTTTATCTGAAAAAATAAAAAGTTATAGGGGTGAGCCACTTTTGAGACGCACCCGGTATACCAATATTTAATAGTTTTCGAGATAAACAGTGAGGTCAGAAAAAATAATGATTTCCATTTGTCATAAAATCGTTACTATGAAAAATATTCACACTTTATAAGTATCAATTAGAGTTCAAGTGCTAAATTTCTAAAATTGTTTGGAAAAAATGGAATATGTTAAAGACAGTGTTTACAAAACTCGACCAACTATTGTCAACATGAGAGAAATTATTGCAGCTGCTTTTCGAGATATACTTCCACATATATCTTTTAAAATGAGAAGATCCTTTTGAAAAGACAATCGTTTTATGCAGTTAATGAGAAAGGAAGCATTTTAAGCATTTTATTTCATCTAGCTAATTTTTGTCACATAATTATAGAATTATGTCTAGTTCTGTAATAATTAAAATATGTTTTAAATATGTATCTTTTTATTTCCGTTGAGTATTTTACTCTACAATCATTAATTTTTGTTAAATTAACAAAAGGGTACCACACAGCCACCTAATTTTTTTTCAAATAATAAAGATCTAATGACGCAAAATCATAAAAATTAAAATATCTAGGAAAATCTTTGTCTGAGGGGTAGGCAACCTTAATAATATTTTGAAGATATATAAATTCCCCATTGAACACCGGAAAAATATACTGGGTGTTCCATTTAAAATAAAGGAGTAACTTGCTTTTAAATGTGACCATATATTCCATATTAATTTTGTCTCATCCTGTATAACTTTTTGGCTCAAATTTCAATTTGGTTTAACATACATGGTTACTGTAATTAAATATCAGGCTATACAGTGTCAACTAAAATTTAGATAGCTGTTATTGAATTTTAAAATTTACTCTTCATTTTCACAAAATGTGAAATATGTCAAAATCTTTAGATTTTAGGTGTATGCTTCTTTAATAAAACTCACCTTTATTTTTTTCCTAGAATCCGAAAATCAATTAATATATAGAGTGTTCTATTAGAAAAAACACAACTTTGATGTGTAACTTTTTTTGGGGACACCCTGTATAATTCTATATATTTTTATAAAATGCTTTCAGTTAACCTACATATGCTGCCAAAATTTCATTTCGATATAAACAATACCGTTCTCCTTGGAGCTTCCGCGGCGTATGAGAAGCGCCACCCTGTAGACTCACCCTGTATAGATTGTGTAATACAATATACGCATAATATATATTTTCAAGGAACGTAACTCCGGTATCATTTACATAAAACTATTATTAGTTTAATAAAAACAGTACTATAATATAGCTGTTACACAATTTTTCGACTTACGATAGGCATATTCTCTTTTAAAATATTTCTTATTAAATGTATTTTTACTTAATAAAAAAACTGTTCCTATTAACAGCCTCATAAACCGCTCCCCATTAGCACATTTTACTTCCTCTCTCCATAGGGTATGAATTTTTTACATTAATTTAAGGCACTGCTAAAACATTTACAGCAAAATTTAAATCCAGCCGGCAGATAATATTCCTTCCCTTTACGCTATATAGCATTTGCATTTTAACAAGGAATTTATTTTTTCTGCGCTTTTGTGTAAATCCCCTTCGTTTCTATAAAGAGATTGGCCCATTCCTGTTCGCGTTTTACAACCCTAATAACAATTTGACATTTTACAAGTCTCTTTAAAGCGACTTATGGGAGTGTGTCGACATTAATCGTAAAAACTACCGCGGAGTATAATAGAAGGCGCCATAAAATTAAGAAGAAAAAAAAAGACGTAAAAAATACGTTTTATGATATACAGGGTAGAAAAACGGAAAGAGGTAGAAACAATTTTTTTATGCGTATATGTAGAGAGGCAATGTAAATAATTTAAAATTATTTTCATATGTACAGGGTGTGTCAGAACTAAGATCCATAACAAAGTTTTATTTTTTCTAATGGAACACCCGCGATTTTCTTTAACTTTTGTATTCTTGGGCTTAACATAAGGCATTTATTATAAAGGTTTAATATGTTTAAATGTTTTGGTTTTTGAGACATTTAAATATGCATGCTTTAATAAAAAAGTTTGTCAACACCCTGTACATTACTTTTCAGAGTTAATTCTTGTGCTGACGTAAGCCAGAGAAATAAACTTTACCAATATCAATCATATCAAACTTTACTAATATCATCTAATATCAATTACTAATAAAATCACTAGTAACATATATCCATTCCTTCCGCCAGCAAATACTGCTTTATTTTTCTTGATAAAATAATAAATACTTACTTATTAACCTTATTGTACGTAAATTAAATAAAAATAACCTGTTATAAATTTCAATAAAGTTCATAAACTAAAGTCGATTTTGAAAATAGCTACTAAGTGTCACTAGAAAATTGCCATGGCGACACCAGCCATCTTGGGTAACCAAGATGGCATGGATGTAAAGTTTTATTGAAAAATCGCTTTTTATCCAAAATCTGAGACAGATAAGTATAGGTAACCTTAATACAGTTTGAAAGAGCATTTAAATCTGCTTTGACTTATTTAAAAAATACATACCTAGTGTTGCATTTGAAATAACGAAGTTTTTATGTAAAATAAATATTTAAAATAGACCAGTAACTTTTGATACCCCTGTGTACATTTAAGGAAGCAATAAAATTTTTTAGTAAAGTTTATTTCTCTCGCTTGAAAGCCAGCGCAAAAATTAATTCTGAAAATAATGTATAAGGTGTTGACAAACTTTCTTATTATAGCATACATATTTAAATATCTTTAAATATATCAACGAAAGTTTTTAAACATATTAAACTCTTATAATAAATGCCTTATTTTATGTCCAAGAATCCAAAAATTAAATAAAATACCGGGTGTTTCATAAGAAAAAATACAACTTTGGTATTGATCTTAGTTTTGACACACCCTGTACATTTCAAAATAATTTTAAATTATGCACATTTCCTTCCCACATATACCCATAAAGTATTTTGTTTCTACATCTTTCCGTTTTCGTATAACCAACCGAGGCGAATGAGGTACCCTATTTTATTTCGACTTACTTACCTGAGGATAGTCTCCAAATTTGGTCTGATAATCGAACACATAAAGATACGAGTTTCTGTGCTCTTTTGAATGCAAGTCAGCAGTGTGTACCACCGGAGCTACGTACTGGGCATCGGACAGCGCTTCTAGCGTCTCGTCTCTGATATTTATCGGATGCTGGACTGGTCTCTCCCAGTCTGTGTATTCGTTAACGATTGTAGCTAGAATTTCGCTGAGGTGGTAGCTGTAGGTGTTCTTGACGAAGGTACGAAGGATCTTTGTGCGGCGGTCAGCTTCAATGCCATACTGAAACAATAAATATTAACTATACTAAAGATAATAATTGCTTTTTTAAATATTTTTTGCTGGAAGACAATTTCGTATTTATTTGCATTCATTTTAAGAAAACAAGAATTATACTAATTATATTTATACAGGGTGTTCCTTAATGAAATGCTAATATTTAATGGGGTGATTCTTGAACCTATTTTAAGAGAAAAACTTCATATAAGATGTATGGAAAACGTGTATCAAATATATCAAAGACATTTTGAAAAAAAAATTGACCACCCTGTATTTGAAAAGTTAAGATGAGTTTTTTTTCTTAGAATAGGGTCAATTAACGCCTCCTTAAATATTAGCATGTTATTAAGGAATACCCTGTATATTATACTGTATTTTTATTCAAAGAAATAGTTATTTGTACTGAAAGGCCCCTGAATAATTATGCTTCTCTTTAATTATAAAAAGACCATTGTTAAAACTAAAGAGAAAACATTTTCATTTACTATCTACTTTATTTCATTGTTTATCTACCCTCTTATTAAGATAACAGAATGTTTAGGATGAATAAAATACAAGGCAGTAAAACCAATTACAGGAAGAAAGAACGGGAAAGCTTGGCTCAAGAATAAAAATGTAATAAAACAATAAAATTGTATTAAAAGACTCTTTACAAAAAACCGTAAAAGATTTTATCTAGTCGTTTTTATAAATTAATTTTATATATTAAGATATTATATTATAAATATATCTATTTTAGTGAAAGAAAAAAACATTTTCAAGACACTTCATGTTAGTATAATTAGAGGATTTGTGAGTTCAGTTAGTACCCAGCGTTTAAAATATATTGTTTTCTATTTAACATCAAAAGTTCTGTTAGAGATTTATTTTTTTAAAAAGAAAAAAAGTTGACATACGGTATGTCATTCTATTCAGAGTGCCATTTTCTATGAAATAAAGTAAAAAAAATTGTGTGTGCACTACGTATGCATTTTTGAAGTGGAACTTCTTACTAACAACTATTAAATTAAAGGATTCGAAAAAGTGTAGTTTGAAATGTCGAAAAAGTAATAAATTAAAAGTTAATAAGTAATTCGATTCACTCTCACAAAATTTGTATTAAATTGACCGTCTGTTCGTCTGTTCGTCTGTCCAAGACTCCATTCGAGTACCTCTATCCACTTGCCGAGTTTGGTTCCATTTAGTGATGCGTCGGTATTTGAATAACGCGATTTTGGAGCGGTATTTGTTTGTAGCGTCGCACGGTGGAAAGACCCAATATAAAATGTTGGACATTGACTTAAAAATAAAATTTTAAATTAAATAATTTTGGTAGAAGATTTGAATTACTTAAAGTCCAGACCGTTATATTTTATCCAACTCAAAAAAATATTTTTAATTATATGTCTGTTTGAAAAGTTTCAAATGAAGATATTACATTGACTTAATTATATACATTCATTTTCTTGTGAAACCTACCTAGTTTTATAAAAACTGGCAAAGACATTAATATTTTTTTAACTATACAAATTAGTGCAAACGATTGTTTTCACTTTAAAATAAAACCATATATAGTCGCAAAAATTTGGGAGAACAATTGTAGATAGAGACACATAAACATTTTTTGCTGCTAAATACTATGTTATTAGCAAAAAATGTGTATGTAGAATTTCTTCTAGGTTTCTGCATCTTCAGTCAGTGAAAGTAGAAAATATCATCAGCAGTTTTTTCAGTCCATAAGATTCAACATTTAAAAATACAGGGATAATTGTTTATACATATATAAATCACTTGTTTTAAAATAAAAAAATTGGCATTTTAAATTTATATTGTATTTATTTATTAAATGATAAAATTAAAATACTTATATACTACACATGATCTAACACTGTAAGTCTTCTTTGGTTTTGGTTTACTGTTTGTCGAGTACTATGGGTATAGTTCATTAATGTTGGCCAAGACTTATATATATATCACAAGGTAGATTAAGCCTTTCTAATAATGAAACTAAGTTAACATCTTGCCCCAGCTTGCCCCCCTCTAAAATTTCCATTTAATATATTACTAATACATGCTATTACAAAATCAAAAACCTGTTCAATTACCAATAAATTAATTTAAAATTTTTAGAGTCAAAATTATCTTTATTTTTTTATAAATTTATTATATTTAATTATAAATTGGATAACATACCTAAAATGACGCTAAAATCAAAAACAAGTACTACGACTTACTACAAAATATGGAAATTATGATTTTGGAAAGAAAGAGGGTTAAAGCTTTTTGCAGCGTTCAAAATTTTTTGTTTGTAATAAAAATATTCTAGTGCGTTGATTTATTTATTTTCTTCAATTGTAATAAAGTTATTGTACAGGGTATCCACTAAGAATTGCTCTCAGTAGTATATCGGGGAAAGTAGGGTAGTAAATGAGGCTTACTGGAAAAAATATTCATATTACAGCATCACCAATTTTGTTTTCATTAAATCCTCTATGCGATAGATTATTTCTTGGAAGAGTTTTGTTCAGAAAATGCTGGAAATTATTTTCAAACAGAATGGCAGCTAGAGAGAACAAATACTATAAAAAATAAGAAAATGGAGTAATTTTACACAACTTTGCCTAGAAAGGGGTACTTAAATAATACCTTATTAATCTTCTAGCAAATTCTGAATATTTTTTTGTTAGAACCATTTTCCCCTATCTGCCAAAATAATCCACCAGAAGGTTAGATCTATTTTTATTTGAAATATTAATAATTATGACTGGATGGAGCGGAATTTAAAGCTAACAAGGGGCTATGTCGATAAAGACGTTTCTTTCTTTCATTATACCATATAAACATTATTTACTGGTTTTAAACGTACATTTTTAGGGGGCGCTATGTCTACAAATTAACAAACATTGTGCGTTTTTTTCAAAAAAATGCGATGGTATGTCATTTTAACTGATAATAAAAGGTAATGAAAGCTTAACAAAAGTCATGAAAACCGCATCTTGATATCTTGTTTAAATCGAAGGGGTTATATTAAATAGGAAAATATATGTAATCATTTAAAGTACCATATTTTTTTATAACACGGTATCAGGAGTCTTAGATTTCAGTGGTAAAATCTAAAAGCTATTAATTTTTAAATAGATCAAAATAAAACATTCCACGACTGACGTTTGGCAAAGTTTATAAGCATTTAAAACTTGTAAGCATTTTTCCAAAACATACTATATTTTTTAGGTCACCCTGTAGATGGTTTGATCATACGAGCCAACCACTTTCTTTCATTAAAATTTAAAATTGTTATTTTTTTTATACATTATTACGGTATATAAAATCTTTTCAGTCTTTTTGGATTAAAAGTGTTGAGAAGAAAACCTCATGTCCAACAGCTCCCATAAGCTTGTTCCACTGTGCGTCGTGTCGCTAACAACAACGAATCGGGAACCTGGATTGAAGAAGTGTAGTCATAATGACGAAAAACTATAAATTATTTATAGTTTACAAATAAATTATTTATAATCTCACAAAAGTTAGCTTAGAATTGACCGTCTGTTCGTCTGTCCGTCTGAAAACCCAATCGGGAACCTGTTACTGAAGAACGACGATCATAATGACGAAAAAATATAAATTATTTATAATTTACAAATAAATTATTTATAATCGCACTTGAAGTTAGCTCGAACCGTAGTAACCGCATAGCGACGTGTTTAGCTCCAGCCGTCGCGATTTCGTCGGTCGCCAACGGTAGTATTCGGAACTGGTATGTCCGTAGCGCAGCGCGATCTCGATCGGGACGTGTTCGCTCCAGCCGTCGCGCTCCTAGAGTTTTAGTTCCCTGTCGCGAACAGAAGTAACTGCTGTAACTGATTATCGACGCTCGACCTCGGCGGCCACGTATTTCGTTCCAGCAGGCGCTGGAGCGTTTCTAGGGTTAGGTTTTTGGCCTGTCGCGATTTGGTCGGTTACTATTGGCGTTGGTGCTCCCGTAGCAGCGTTACTTTCGAAATAGCGATTTTTGGTACGTACTAGGCATGGTATAAAATAGTGTTGTTTGAAAGATGAAGACAGTGGTTTGGACTTTGTTCTTCATTTTAACATTAAATATATTATATTGCAATACACATAAATAAGAGCCGTTCATTTTATTTAAACGAAAATTGATAAAGAAAAAAAAAATAACAAGGAATGTCATCGTTTTTCTAAAAATGAGATAGATTGGCTATACACAATTATAAACTCGATATTTGGAAAATGAGTGGCGGATAAAAGTTACATTAATCTACAAATATAGATAAGTTAGATATATGTTTAAATAATATACATGTTCTGATTTCTTTCGAAAATCGACATCTATGAAACTATGAACCCTTCTTGGACACAAACGGTACATTGTGAAACAGGAAATTGTAGAGAGAAACAAGCCCTATAACATAGGATACATTTTAATGAACAGTGCTTTCCATAAAATCAATAAAATGAAAAATATACGAAATAAAATAAATGTACTAATTTCTTTCGAAAATCGACAACTATGAAAATATGAACCCTTCCTGGACACAAACGGTACATTGTGAGACAGGAAATTGTAGAGAGAAACAAGCCCTATAACATAGGATACAACATTTTACTGAACAGTGCTTTCCATGAAATCAATAAAATGAAAAATATACGAAATAAAATAAATGTACTAATTTCTTTCGAAAATCGACAACTATGAAAATATGAACCCTTCCTGGACACAAACGGTACATTGTGAGACAGGAAATTGTAGAGAGAAACAAGCCCTATAACATAGGATACAACATTTTAATGAACAGTGCTTTCCATAAAATCAATAAAATGAAAAATATACGAAATAAAATAAATATACCGATTTCTTTCGAAAATCGACATTTATGAAAATATGAACCGTTCCTGGACACAAACGGTACATTGTGAGACAGAAAATTGTAGAATTATAAACAAACCCTACGAAACATTTACAGTATTCGAAATGAACATATAACTTTCCATAAACTCAATAAAATGAA